AGGTCAGAATGCGATAGTATCATAAATTTCTAAAATATAATAATACATAAGTTAAAATTACAAAAGTGATGGAGAACGAATAAAACATTACATTATAGTCTAATATAAATAATCTATTTCTATTTTCTAATACACGAATATGTTCATAAAATCGCTCTACGATAAACCTCACTAAATCTCGACACACGGTGATGAGAATACCGCCTCCTGACCTTTCAGCCGATTTATACGCTCCATTCGCAAATTTTCCTTCCACCGCTCCTACATAAACCCGAATGCGTACCTCCCGTCCAACACCACTGTTCTAAACTCATCGATTTTATCCCAACCTATAAACAAATTAATTGTTAATTGTTACATTGATAATTGTTGTTTTTGTGATTAGTAATTTACATACCTATTTCTTTTGAATACCACGCTTTGCACTGAACAACGATCCTCATCCCAAAAATTGTTATAATAATGTCTCGTCCGATCTCCACTTTTCCTATAAATTAATAAATTAATGAATATATATTTCATCGTCATATAAAGCTGGGGCCAGCATGTATCCTATTCATCATTAAATCCAGTAGGGCTGCTCCATTTCCGGACATCGATAACTGAAAAGAACGTTCACTGCCGAAACAGTGGCCACGACGTGCTTTCAATTCTCAGATAATTTACATCGATGTGATAGCGTAACTTTAGATACATAATGACTCAATATATTATTCAATAAATTAACTTACCCGACATGATCAATAACAGCACCATACTTCTCAAATACTTTCAGCAACTTGGCACAGAACACCTCAAATCTTTTTTCCAACTCTTGCGATGTCTCTCCTTCAATACGTTCAAATAGAATTTCTTGCATTTTTTGCGACATTTTAAAAAATAAATTTTGTTAGTAGACACCGAAAACTTTCATTTATATCCATCACCCTTTTTCATTACATCACGGAGGAAAAAAAAACATGCCAAAAAACCATTTCCAGTCGCATATCAAACGACGATCGCAGGCTCGGAACCAATAAATATCGCAGGATCTTCGGATCTTCGGGATTTCAAAGTAAATATGAGATTTTACCTATAAAGAAAATTCTTTGGTTTTAAGTAAATTTTTATTATTGGATTTTTTCATTATTTGATTTGGCGCTTTTTTTAGTTCGCACTCTACAGCTACAACTAATGGCACGTGATATATTCTGATTGAGTGAAAACGTGCACGATATCAGGTCTTTTGACTTTTGCACAAATAGTTTCAAAAAATAATAATATATATGTAATTAGATATGTGAACAATTCAGTTTTCAAAAAATAATATTATATATGTAATTTAGATATGTGAACAATTCATTCATTTTCACATTAAGTCTAATGGATAAAATAGATTTAACTATTAATTTAGATAACAAATCTCATGAATAGTATCATTATTAGAATTATACACTAGATGTTGTTTATAAGCAAAAATTTTTTTGTTAAGTATCTATTTTTAGAAAAAATGTCTTAGACATATCTTTCATAATTTATATTAGTATATAGATTGATTTCACCTATAATTGCCCGAATTTAAATAAATTCTGTAAATATTCCAAATAAATGAAGTAATTTATTTATTATATGTATGAGATGGAAAGGACTTTATGGTTTTGTTTAGTTCTTTAATCATTTTTTCGCATTTTTGTTTAGACTTTTCGACTCGATTAGCCTTAAGTAATTTTCTTCGAAATTTTTTCAACATGTAATGTTCTTTACCGCGATATCCGTATCCATAGTCTAAATATAAAAAGTTAATTCTGCATTTTGTCTTTATCCAATCTTTTTTCGTTTGCATGCTTCTTTCAATTCCAAGAAGGCAGTGTTTGAAATAAAAGAATGAACCTTTCATGGTGATTCTTTCGAGAATATTATGAACATCTCTGCTTAACCATTTATTGTTTACTTTTTTACTGAATTTGATGTAGTTTTCTTTACTTCTGATCCAATATCGAAGTAGTATAAAAAAACTAATTCCAGGATTGTAACCGAGGATTTCGATAAATTTTTCCTGGACCATGTCCGTAAAAAGTTTACTGATAAATTTGTTGGATCGTAAAATTCCTTTGATAGTTTCGACTGGAGATGTGTCAAACATAACATGTTCATTAAATAGATCGTTGATTAAAAATTTAAAGGAAGATTCAATGATGATTAGTTTTTTGCCGGCTTCCATGTTTCTGAAGTTTTTGTTTTTATAGTATAGTAATATTGTTCATCAAAGTTTTTGCTTGTAGTTTATATATTGTTTTTGTTTACTGTGCAGAATAGTTATGGATTGTAAAAAAATATCATATCATTGAGAAAATCACGAGTATTACAAAACATCGAGCTGATATTAATTTAAAAGAAAATTCTTTCATAGAATATCTATGAACCAAAAAGGATTATAAAGTAACCATCCAGACAAAGATCATATTATAACGTATAAATAAACTGAGTTTCTTTGTCTCATGTTATCAGCTTTGACTTTCATATAAAAAAGAAGCCATTTTCTTTTACGTGTTTTTATTAATAGTATTAAAATTAATTTCTTTATTTATTATGGTGAATTAAATGACTATTTAAAACCAGCTCATTGCAAAATACTGTATAACACGTTCTTTGTCTAGTAACTCTTCATGTATATGCTAAATTAATTTTCGCGTGCAGAATTCTTTCATTTATGATGTGAACTAAATAATTTACAATTAATTTAAACTAAGTAGAATTAAAAATTTTTGTGAGCGTTATTACAAATATTGTATAACAAATATTCACGAAATATACACAGTTTTCGCGTAAGAACTCTAATTATAGTACAAAATTTAACCGTTTGTAGTATAATTTTGGCACTAAGACTTTTTTGTTTTCGAGAATTTATTTACAACGATTCGAAAAATAAACGTTACTCTTCGAATCTTAAATGCTCCATTACTTTTATTTAAAATATTTGACACTAATTAAGGTCTTTTTAACGAATGATATATTTTTACGCGTAAGAATTCTGATTTGCTATATTTCTTTGTTTAATTCCTTACTTCATTTAAAAGCGGCATAGACTTCTCGAGTTAGTAAAGATGCGAATTAAATAAGCTATTAATAAACAAACCAATTATTTTAAAATTAATAGTTAACTACAGTTTATTTATATTAATTGTAAATTATTAGTTCAGATCCCATCCCGTGCACTTAAACTCGACTTCTCTTTTTAATACTTAATTTAAAGCAACTTAACACGTAAGTCTTCTAAGATTATTTAGCAAACTTACCATATTCATAATACTAACCGGGTCCGTATTTAACACTTGAAACAAGTCAATTTTAACAAAAACACTTGCGCATTCCCGAGTAGTTAATTTATTACATACTATACCTTTTTTACCTTTTCAATATAATATGATTTTTTTATTTGGAATTCTATGTACGAAGTTTATATATAATTAATTAAACATATATATGAAAGTTATTTTCATAATGAACACTTAAAAAGAAATAAAGAAATGGAGTCTTTGCACCGTTATTATAGCCCTAGATATTGTCATTGGGCGAATTGGTGTACAGAATAATTAGTTAAGTATAATTATTCCTATAAATAGAGGCTTTATCAATACTGAAGAATCAATATTTTGAATCACAAAAAAATTTCGAGACATATTATGGAACATATACGGCGAGTTATCCTACGAGAAGAACAAAAAACTCTTTATAAGTTTCATCATTTTATTAATCATTGTTTACATACATCAACCATCCGCAAAATATGATACGTGCAGTTGTAATGTCAATACAGATTATGTAAAAGCCTATGCGGCTTAAATAAAGTTCAGTACGCGTAGATTTTGATCTAGTTATTATAAGTAATTTATAATAAGAAAGATACTGTATTATTATAATAAATTTTGGCTTTATTTGTTTCTGCAATGTTTATTGTTTACATATATGCCTAATTAATTTTAGAAGCCTTCGTAGATTGAATTCTATTTAAATCTATATTGAAAAGTTATACGTAACCATTCTGGTAAAGACCGAAAGAATTTATGATTAACAATTCGGATAAAAGAACGAAGATCAACAGCAATTAAAATTTATTCGAAAATATTATCAATACAAATTATGTAAAAGCCTATGCGGCTTAAATAAAGTCCAGTACGCGTAGATTTTGATCTAGTTATTTTAATTAAGTAATTTATAATAAGAAAGATACTGTATTATTTTAATAAATTTTGGCGTTTATTGTTTACATATATGCCTAATTAATCTTAGAAGCCTTCGTAGATTGAATTCTATTTAAATCTATATTGAAAAAGTTATACGTAACCATTCTGGTAAAGACCGAAAGAATTTATGATTAACAATTCTGATAAAGAATTTATGATTAACAATTCTGATAAAAGAACAAAGATCGACAGCAATTAAAATTTATTCGAAAATATTATCAATACAGATTATGTAAAAGCCTATGCGGCTTAAATAAAGTTTAGTATGCGTAGATTTTGATCTAGTTATTATAATTAAGTAATTTATAATAAGAAAAATACTGTATTTTTTAATAAATTTTGGCTTTATTGGTTTCTGCAATGTTTATTGTTTACATATATGCCTAATTAATCTTAGAAGCCTTCGTAGATTGAATTCTATTTAAATCTATATTGAAAAGGAATTTAAATTTACCACATGGATATTTGATATTGTTTCAAGAACCATTTAAATGATTACGCGAAAAGTTTAATCCGATTCCTGAAATAAGGACAATTCTGTGCAAACTCAGGCCCGAGTTGATTATCGCAAAGGTTTAAGGAAGTTAAAGTTGTATTTTTGCAAAGAGCATCTGCTATTGCTTTTCCTCCTTCAGGACCAATTTGATTACCGCAAAGGCTTAAGGAGGTTAAAGTGGTATTTTTGCAAAGAGCATCTGCAAATGCTTTCCCACCCTCGGAACCAAGTTGATTACGACGAAGACACAAAGAAGCTAAAGTATTGTTGTTACATATAGCATTCGCTAATTTTTTTCCATCTTCAAAACCAATATTAAAATCTGAAAGAATTAAAAAATTTAAAGAAGAGTTTGTACAAAGATAATATGTAAAAACGTTCCAAAACTCGGAATTAAGTTGACTGAAATAAATTTCCAAATAATTCAAGGTATTATTTTTAAGAAGTGCTTCTGCTATATCGGCATCAAGGCAAGTATCAAGGTAACAAAAATTTTCAAGTGTTAAAGAAGTTAAATTTTTACAAAGAACGCTCATTAATGCATTCTTCACTGCATTCTTCCCTGCATAATTAAGAATATTTCCATCAAACACTGATAGTTTTAATTTTTTACTTGTTCGTAGAAACATTTTAATCAAAGAATTTGCAATTGTCAAAATGAACTCTTCGTTACATGTAAACCCTTCTTCTTGATTAAGCCAACTTTGTACACCATTAGTTAATTTATAACCGAAATGAATTTCTTTCATAAAACTTGAATATTCAAATAACGGTCGTTTTTCAATATATGGAAATTTGATTTTAAATGGAATTAGTAATCTTTGTTCTTCAGCATTTAATCCTAAAAGACATGTTTTGATAAATCCCGCATTTTTGAACTTAGGTTGACGCCATAATATTGGCACAATAATTTTACACCATTGACGATTAACAAGGAGACATGAAAATAAGCTTTTATAATCTGGCTGAAGAAATCCAAAACTATATTCATCAATCTCGAGGTATTCAAATATTTTGACAAGACATTCGTTTGGTAAAGGGTTCATTTTTAAAGAATAATAATTTGTATAATATTGTTTTTTTGAAAAATTTTCCACATTGAATAGAGCCCATATTTATATAATTTTGAAATTAATATCATTTAATTAATCTAACTGTAAAAATAGCATTTGGCAGCGACATTCAAAGCTCCAAAACCTCCGTGAATAGAATTTCAAATTGAATCTAATTGATACTCGATAAATTAACCACTTGAGAATTTTGATATATAAAAGACTATTGTTTCTGTCTCAAGAATTTATTCAAAGGTTGGAAATCTATATGTGAATAATATTGACGTTAGTACAGAAAATTAGCCATTTGGACAAAGACTTTTTGTAGTTAAATACTCATTTTCTTGGTTCGAGAATTTTAAATTCATTACTAATACAAATTATGTTAACGTGCGCGTAAAGACGCCAATTCTTTGTTTCAAGAGTGTTATTACTAATTTTATTGCCACTCGAGAAATCTTAAGTTATAATGCGAAAAATTTGTGCCGCTTTTAAATTAAAGAAATTAAACAAAGATTTAGAGCAAGTACGCGTAGGGTACAATAATTTAAGTAATGAAGTAATATACGTACATATATATAAATAGTGACAGTATTATATATTTAAGAGTATGCTAATTGCTATTTTTAGATTACCAAGAACTTTACGAATTGGGAATAAGGAAAAACGAAGCAATTTTATATTAGCATTATCAGAAAGCATTGCCTAGTTTTTAAGAGAATACTACGTATAAATAGAAATCATGCCAAATTTTTAGGTAATTGAATACATAATAGACACGCACGTCAATACAACATAAATTTTATTATTGTAATCAATAAAAAGGAAATATATAAATTATTAAGTAAAATTAAATGAATAGAGTAGTGATGCGACCCGTAAATTTCAAATAATATAAATAATCTACGGGTTACTTTAAATCTGTAGATATTCATCGGTTTAAAGTAACCCATAGATTATTTATATTATCTGTTCAATGTTCTGAACACTCTATTCAATAGAGTGTTCAGAATTTTTGCGACGCATAAAATTATCATCTTTTTTGTATTTGTTTTGGATAGAGATGTGATCCGTTATTCACTGAATCTAGAGATTTGACCCGTTATTCACTAAATCGAAATTTATTAATAAAATCCAATGAATATTCAATAGATTTATTAATAAATTTTGATTCAGTGAATAACGGGTCACATCTCTAATGCCAGATAACTAGTTTATCTGGCAGGTATGACGTATACACTTACGGAAAGAATTTTATATTAATTCCGCAGATTT